CATCACCCCTAATTTGCTGATGGAGAATCTGGGGCTCTGAAACAGGTAGTCAGTTGGCTAAGATCACATGGCTGCTGAATGGTGGGGCTGGGAGGTACACCCAGCTCTGTCTCAGAGCCTAGAGTTTTTCTCCTCATTAAAGAAGGCATGGCCCTCACAGTGCCCTCACTCAGGCAAAGGGAATGATTTTCTCAGGGGTACCCCTCATCTTCCCCGCACAGGGAAGCTAATGTCAAGCCTATCATGCCAGCTGCACCTTTCTCTGACACAGAACCCATGGGCAATTTGGTGTCTCCTTGGAGACAAGGCATTCTTTGCCATACTGCTGGTGGTATTGGTAACAATAATTTCCAGAGTATTAACAACATGCTAGGCGAGATGCCAGGTCCTCTGGGGCATGTTATCTCAAATCCTTATTAGAATCCTTTCCCCTAGGTGGGTATGTCCCCATTTTACAGAAGAGGCTCAGGTGGATGCCAGGACTGTGTGGTCCTAAGCCTGGTTCCAATGGATGGGGTAGGAGGGAGCTGAGGGTTGACAATCACCTACTCCGGAGGAAATCCTCACAGCCTTCTTCCCCGACTCAAGAAAAATCCGACAAACAAATTAGGCTACACTAGCCCAGAGCCTGGGGAATACAGGGTGAGCCAGGAGTCAGCTGTGAATAATGCCTCCGTTCAGCAGCAGATGACTGCAGCCTTAGGAAGGCCTCTGCTTACCCTTCTACCTGCAGCCGAGATACCAGGGTTAAAAGGAGGGTGGCGTCCCAGGAGCCAGAGGGTCCTCAGACTTGGCCTGGCAGAGTGAGAGCCCTTCAGCCCTCAAATCCCCAGAGGGAGCACTATGGAGGCCTTTCTATGAGGCAAAGCACTGGCTTTTCCTCCCAAGCAAATCCATTTCCAGGACAGACCCTCTAGCTCAGGCTGTGGGCAGGGATGTGTGCAGCTCTGGATTAGACAGATGGGGGCCATGCCAGCTGGGATACCTGCTGGTAAGAAGGTGCTGCTGGTAACTGGCACCCTGCAGTAAGGGAGGCCCTCCAAGCTGGGAGAAACAGCAGGCAGAAAAGGCTGGAGCCTGCTTTGCTCTCCCGGTGCCACACCCCTATTCTGCCGGAGCGCTCAGAGGAGAGGTGAGCCTCCCTGGAAGGCCTTTCCCGGTGTAAACACTTCCAAGGAAAGAAGGAAAGGAATGTGCTGGGAAGAGCCAGGTTGGGCCACTGGAGCCTCAGCCAGCTGGGGTAGATTTACAAAAAAAAAAAAAAAAAAAAAAAAAAAAAAAAATCACCCCAGGAATCAGTTTTTTTTTTTTTCCCTGAAACTCAATCAAAGTCTCACTGCTCCCCCCTCATCTTCTGCGAGTGGGCGCATCCTACCTGGGCAGACGAGCCCCAGGGGACCCTCATGGGCTCAGCGGAGCTCTGCAGCTCTGCTTGCCGCGGGGCGAGGCCGCCCAGGCAGGCCCGGCTGGTGCAAGGGCGCCGCCAGCTCACGGCACCGCGGCAGGAGCACGGCCCGAGCAGGAGCGCCGCGCCGCGTCTTTGGGGCACGCAGGCTCCCACTTGCACACCAACGGGTCCCAGGTTGCCAGGCCTGGGAGCTGTCTTACAAGCGATTAGACTCCATTTTGTGACAGATTTTTGGACTCTCCCACCGACCCTCCCCCCTTCCGGAGCCTCCTCCAGGAATTCGCCACCTCCTCAGGATAGAAACGCTTTCCAGACGAGCGACAGACGGCAAGAAAAAAGACTTACATAATTCTATTTGGCCAAGCCACCAAGAAAAAAAAAATGGGGCGCGGGGCGGGGGGGGGGGAATTATGTTGTCAATTTTCTTTTCATATGTTCTCCGGTGGAGGAAGGAGAGAGAGGTGTTCGTGATTTCGCATTTGGAGGCCCCGTTTCCTCCCGCTTTCTAACCAGGTTTGCAGATCCAGAAGGAGCTCTGGCCGTCAAGGGGCCAGGGCCTCGGGCGCAGAACGATCGGATGATTTTTTCTTTTAAGGAGTCCCAAAAAACACGTATGGAGAAAAAGTAAACTTTTCGAGTTACGCGTGAAAATGCCCAAATGCCGAGGCCCGCGCTCTGCTTCTCCTGTCCAGGATGTGTGGTTGGATTTTACCAAACACTATTAAATGTGCCCGAACGTCAATTAATCACCCCCATGGTGCGTAAAATCACGTTGCGCTTCTGGGTGTCCCAGGTCTTTAAAACAAATCGAAAGAAGAGTCGCTTAATAAAAATAAGCAACCTCTTTCTAAGGACCAAGCCCGGCAAGCTCCTCAGGGGGCAAGGATACATTTTTCAAGTTTTTTTTTCCTTTGGGGGGGGGGAGGTTGTTAATTTCCCTATACCACTGACACAAAAGCTCTATAAGATCAAGAAGGCACGTTTCTGTGCCCACTTGCCTGGATTCTTGTCTGAAAAGCATTTATACACAGATGCAATAAATATGCATCTGCGATCCTCAAAGAAAAAAGAATTGTGAAATACACTTTTATTTTGCAAAGAACGTCGCCTCCGCAGTGAGTCCCTGCCTGTCTTACAGCGCTGGCTCTCCCTGAGAAACGCTGAGGCGAGACCCACCGGGGATATTTGTCCATAGGATTGTCTTGATAACAACCCCTCCTCAGCCCTCAGCCGGCCTAGTGCAGATACCTAATTGGCCTTATCGGAAGAAAGAGGGGGCGAGGGAGGAGGAGGGCACCGTCAGAGGTGTGAATAATGCCCGCCTGGAGGCTGCTGCCTTGCAGGACCTCGACCCAGAACTCAGAACCTGAGATTTGCCCAGCGCCAAAATTCACGGGCAAACACATCCCAACTGCAGTGAAGCATCAAGCTCTCAGGCGCCTTTTTTTCTTTTCTTTTTTTCTTTCTTTTAAACAAATATGCTTTCAACAAAGCCAACGCAAATGTTTAATTGTTTTGTAAAATTAGGGGGTTGGCCGCTCTGCTGTAAGGAAATACCCAGCTCAAATTTTGTGACTACAGTTCTGAGCTCTGAAGGACCAGGGAGCATCCTCTCCTTGTTTTAAACAGAAGCTCCATAAAGGACTGAGAGGGGAAGAGACCTGGCCTGGCAGATATGTACAAGATTTTGGAAAGGGTCCCTCCAATACGTAAAAAAATTTTTTTTTCAAAAATCTGCCAATCTCCAAATGACTTGGAGGCCCATTTCCAGTTTCCTGGGCCTCCTGCCCCCACATGTTGAGTCATCCAGGCCGGTGGAAAAGTTGGAAGTGGCACTGCCAGAGCTGAGCTAAGGGTCAGGCAGGCAGAGGTGCAGGAGGGCAGGACGTGGGTGGGCTGGAAGTTGGTGAGCCCTGCCCCTTGGCCAGACCAGAGCCCCCAACCACATCTACCCCAAACTACTTTCCCCATTTTATTTGTGCTGCTCTATGCCTGCCTGTGGCCGAACTGACTGGCGGCCACACTTTGTCCTAGACCTAGAATCATATCCGACCAGAGCACAGCACAAAACCCTACCAACAGCAGTGTGCCTAATTTGGGGTGCAACAGACAGAGGGAGAAGCTTCAGCAAGACTCTGGGATCAACAAAATAACTGACTCTCTGAAATGTACTCCAATTCCTGCCCGCAGAGTCCCCAGTGGGCACGAAGAGCAAGGTGCAAAGAGCAGATCCTATCAGACCTCCAGACCAGCGGGGAGCACAGCCAAATTTGGTGCTTTTGTGGGGCTCAGCCAGAACCCTTCAGAATAGAACGTAATACTCTCTCCAGGGCTCTAGCCTACAGCCTCACTATTTCTAGGCCTCAGCCAAGCAGCTAGAGAGATGGAGATGGGGCATCCCAGCTACTCCACTTCCCATCAGGGCCTGGACAGGTAGGCTGCAATCATCACCAGGCGTTGGCAGCTCAACCTTTTCCTGGAGGCTTGGGCACACACAGCTCCCTCTGAGCCCCGAACCACCTGAGAACCTACTCATTCTAAGTCCCATATAAAAGGGTCTTTTGGGCCCCACTAGAAAGTTTTTGAATGCACCCACTTGTCTCCACAATGCCTTCCTGGGGGTCCCCACACTCTTCTTCCTGCTATTGCTCCTCTGCCTCCCTACCAATCACACTGCCAGGCACAAAACCCAGAAGGTCAAAAGAAAAAGCCTGCATCTGCTCTCATCTGTCCCAGCACCTTGCCAGACAAATGCATAGTCGCAGCTAAAAACAAGTCAGCAGATACGGCTCAACCCATAGTGTCTGGACTCAACCCTGAGGCTTACTTAGGCTACGCCAGGGCAGAGCAAGTTAACCCCTCTCCAACACAAACACTATGCAAGAAAGAGGCTGACTTGGGCAATTCTTCATCCCCTGCCCCCAGGAGCCCCAAATTGTGGTTTGCCACCTCTTGAGGTCCTCTTCCTAGACAGCTCCTCCAGCCAGCAAAAATTGCAAGTGCAAAATTCCCGCATGGAACGCTTTGCAAAGAATGGACACTTGTTTTCTGGCGGGGACTGAAAGTACAACAGGGAGCATGGCAGGAGGGGGGCATCCTGACCTGCTCAAGTAGTGCAGCAACCCCCCACCCAACTCTACTTCCTTGCTCCAGAAACCCCAAACCTCCAAAAAACCCTACTTTGGGGAAGCACACCGCCAGAGCCTGGCTCCCTAAAACAGTTTTCATTTGGGAATCAATTCTTGGTCCCCAGTTTAGGCCTCGGTGAGGTCAGGCCCTGTCCCTGGACAGAGGAATGGTAACTTCTAATTGGCCGAGGGCCTTCTCCTGTACCCCAACCAATGCAAGTTTCCTGACAAAAGATGGCAACTAGAGACCGCCAGAGGCTCCTGGCCACCCCACTAGTGGTAACCAGGCTGGGGATGGTTCGTCCCCGCCGAGAGTCGCGCAGCCCGCACAGCCCTCAGAGCTGATGGGCCCGGTGGCGCTCAGAGCCGGCAGTCGGGCGGCCACGGGCCTGGCCAGGCCGTGGGGATGGCCGGGCTCGAGTGCCGGGCGGCGGCAGGGAAGGAGGAGGACGAGAGGCGCTTACTGTTGGTAGTCTTGTTTGCAGTACAGTTTCCGATCCCGGAAGTAGCAGCTGGTGGTGAGGGCTTGCTGACACGCAGCGCACTGCAAACACTCCTCGTGCCAGGAGGACTCGTTGACTCGCATCAGGAAGCGGTCAGAGATGGGCCGCTGGCAGCCCTCGCAGACGGCGGGATGCGGGCAGTCGGAGCCTGCAGCGCACAGGGCGAGAGTGGAGCGGTCAGCGCCGACCAGCCTGGCCCCAGCGTCCCGGCCGCTCCGTTCCTGCAGCCCGGGCCCCAAAGGCGAGGGCAACCCGGGAGTGCCATCCGCCGCCTGCGCTCCACGGGTCGCCGCACCCGGGCTCGGGCCAGGGAGCCTGGGCGTGGAGAGGCCACAGGTCTCGAGCCTTGGCTGGGCGCTGCACTCTCCCTTTCTCCGGAGATCAGCGCTCGGTGTGACTACGTAAGAGAGCCCGCTCGGCGTGGAGTAGCCGGCTGGGACCAAGACAGGCGAGGTGAGGCTGGGGCGCTTGCTGGCTGACACGCCCCACGGTGGCGTTCGTGGACTTCTGTCCCCAATCTCCCCAAAACCTGTAGTTCGGGTGGCCCAGGGGACATTTTTCTCTTAGAAGCTCCCCCCACCAAGTGACCTGGCAGCACTCCCAAGCTTGCTAAGGTGACCACTTGAGTCCTCCATCACTCCTGCCACCCGCCTCCTACCCCTTCGGGAGTGGCAGCTCTAGCACCAAGGCCCAGGGAGGATGGTGGGTGGCAGCTGGAGCTGTCCTGGCCTCCCTCCTCCTTGGTGGTGTCCCTGCCAACCTCTGCCTCCTCACGATGCCTGTTTAGGGGTGCCTCGCTGCAGGAGTCTATTCTGTGTCCCCTGCACCCCCATGTCCTGCAAACCATTTCCTTATTCCGTTGGTCCGGACCCCTGCGTCCCTCTCGGGAGCATGCCCCTGTCCCCTGCCCGTGACCACTGGGGCGTTCTGATGCCTCACTCACCCAGCAGCACCCCCAGAGTGGCGGGCCCGGGGCGCAGGGCGTGCTCCTCCATCTTGATGCCGTCCAGCATCTTGGCGCAGTCCGTCTGCCCACGGGGGAAGCACCTCTCCAGCGACTCGGGACCTGTTGCTATATCCATGGGACGCGGGGCGCGCCGCGGGCCCCGCCGGCCAGGGTGCTCGCCCGCCCGCCTGCCCGCCCGCCGCCGCCGCCGCCGCCGCCGCCGCCCAGGAGCCGGGGAGGCGCGGCCCCCGCGGGGTTGGGGCTGCGGCAGGGGCCGCCGGCCGCCCCCGGCTAGCGTGGAGCGCGGGCGCGCCGGCCCCGGGCCCCGGCGTCGTGCGGGCGGGCCGGGGCGCTGCAGTCCGCGCCGCGCTCTCCCGGGCACTCGCAGCCACGCGCGCCGGCTCCTCTGTCACCTGCTTGTCAGCCCCGGAGCCGGGCTGCGGCGGCGGCGGCGGCAGACGGAGCCGCGGGGAGGAGGCGGCGGCGGCGGCGGCGGCGGGCGGGGGAGGGGGCGGGGGTGCAGGGGCGGCCCCGCGGGCTGGGGGGGCGCGGGCGGCGCAGCGGGGTCCCGGGCGGGGCGCGGCGGGCCGCGGGGCTCCAGGCGCGCTCCCCGCACTACTCCAGTGCCATGGTGCGCCCGTGGAGCCGCCGGGTTTAGAGCTGGGGCTGGCGGCGGAGGGATACTCCGGCCGGGAGCCGCCTCACCCCTCCTCAAACTTCCTGACATTTGAACTCATTGGTGCGCCTCGTATCCCTGCGCCGGGATGAGCCGGCGGCTCCACGTCAAATAGTGCCGTCGCCGCCCCCCCCCGCGGGAGGGCTCCCCGCGGCCCCAGCCCGCGCCCCCAGCCCGCGCCCCGCTCCGCGCCTGACCCGCAGCGCGGGCCCCGGCTCCCCGGCCAGATCGAGCGCGCGCTGGCCCCTTGCAAGAAGTTTGGGTCGCCTTCGAAACAAATCCTTCTGCCCCACCCCTTTGAAAAATTGATTTGGGAGTTGGGGAACGAGCCTTTCTCTTTCCTGTCTTGCCGTCTCTATTATTAGCATTTTTGTAGAGCTTCAGCGCTAAGAGGAGTGGCCCCAAGCGAGGCCAGGCTGCGCGGACGGCGGGGAGCGCAGCCGCTTCACCGGGGGCAGGCGCCGGCCGGGAGCGGCCGCCCGGGGACCCCATCTGTCGGCCGAGGTAGGTCGCTCCGGGCTGAGTTGACGTCCCCTGGGCGGCGGCGCCTTCCCGGGACCCTTTTGGTCCGCGGAGAGGCTGGCTGCTGGGATTGAGGGACGGGGACCGTCAGGAGGGAAGGGCTGCTGGCCCAGGAATGGCCCAACGGGGTCCCGGCCCAGGGAGAAGGGGCTGGGCCCCGGATTTGGGGTGAGGGGTCGGGAAACGATTCTGGCGTGGCAGAGGTCGGGTGGAGGGGTGGGCGAAGGTCCTGGAAGAGCGCTGCGATCAAGGATGGGAGATGTCTCCACTGGGCAGGCGAGGAGGGTCAGGCCCAGGTTAGGCGCGGGGAGGTTAGAGGACGACTAGGTCTGAGAAAGGGGTCCTCGGTCAGAGGTTGGGGCGGTCGATGAGAACCTGGCCGGGCAGAAGCTGCAGTTGCACGGGTGGGGGTGGGGGTGGCCGTGGCCCTGGGGGTGGCCCTGGGGTCGGTAACCCAAGGCCCTGGACGATGTGTATTGGGTTGCTCGATGGAAACGGGATCGGCGGCCGGGAGAGGCTACTTTCGGTGGCCGAGGAGCCCGGCTAGGGGTCCGTAGGCGGCACCTGGCCGGGACAGCACCCTGGTCAGACTGGGCAAAGTGGGCGTTGGCGCTGGGGAGCGAAAGGCCTGGCACCCGCCCGGCCTGGCCCCCGCGCTCGCTCGCAGCGCAGGCCGCGGCGTCGGGCTGCAGCGCACCGCGCCTAGGCTGGCTGTGTCTTCGGCTCCTGGGTCTCCACAGAGGCGCGGCTCGCCCAGGAACAGGGGGGCCGCAGCGGGCCCGGGGCAGGCGCTGCCTGGCCCCTCGAGCCGCTGCGGGGCGGCCCCGACCCCCCCGGAACGGAGCAGCGGCGCGGAGCGGGGCGGGGGCGGAGGGCACGGGAGGCGGGTCCCCTGACCCCGCTGGAGGCGAGAGGGCGGATCGGATTTGGAGCCTGCCGGAGGCTCGGTCAGAAGTGGCCCCCTGTGCCGCCGGGCCCCGCGGAGGGGCCCGGCTTTGTGGAGGATTCGAAGGCTCCCGCCGCATCCCGGTACCTGCGTGTGTGTCGGTGGGTGTCTGTGTGCGTGCGCGGCGGTGCGCCCTCGTCCGAGCCGGTTGCGGGCCTGTGCACGCGTGTCCGTGCGCCCGAGACTTTCTGGGCTCGGAGTGTGTGAATCTGTATCTGGGTGATTCCCGTGCACATGTGCGTGTGCATCTGCAGGTCCCGACACGCCTCTGTATCCTCTGTATGTTTCTAGGCCTTTCTGTGTGTCCCGGTGTCGGTGTCGTTGCCTGTGGGTGCCGACGGCTTTGTGTGTCTCAGCCACTGTATTGTGTCTGGGGCACTTTTCTGTTTGTGTGTCTTCGTGTCATCTTTGTGCGTCTGAGTGGATCTCTGAGTTTCTGAAAGGCTCTGTGTGCTTGCGCCTTTTTAGAGTTTTTTTGGGGGGGTTATGTGTGTGTTTGCGCGTGGCTTTTGGTGTCGTGCCCCGTGTATTTCTCCACGTCTTTGTGTGTCCGTCTCGGGGACGGTGGGTGAGGGGCTATGTGGCTTCTCTCATACACCCTTGGTGCCTTGTCCCTGTGCAGCCTGGAAGGCCCTGAGCTCCCGAAGTTGGGCCTGGGCCTGGGCTGCCTTCCTCGGGCAACTGGGGGCCGGGGCGCGAGCTGTGGGAGAAGCCGGGCAGGCAAAATTCGGGCGCGCGTTGCCCGGCGCACCACTGGCGAACCGACCGGGCGCATTCTGCCCTCTGCTGGCACCGTTGCGTTCCTGCACCGGCTGCCTGTGGGCTAGAGGGTCCGGCCCGGTTCCAGGCCCAGACCCTCGCTTTTACCTTCGGAGCGCACTTGGGAATCCGCTCCCAACTCAGGCCCTGCGCACTCATCCCGGACCCCACGCTCTGGATGCAGCGTTCCATCCTCCTCCCGTCTCCCCCACCTTCCCTGTAACCAGCCTCTTCCTCTCATTTCTCCCCTTCAGCCAAATGGGGGCCCCTGTGGCCCGGCCTCTGTGACTTCTGTGACCCTGGGTCTGACGTCCAGAGCTGAGTTGGGGCCGCAGACTGAGCTGGGGTCGCGTTCCTAGGGCCACCCAAAAGCAAGTTCTCAGAGCAGGAGAACGTACCAGCAGCCTTGCTCTGGTGCCCTGGGGTAGTCTGTCCTGGGGCACATACAGTCTTGGTGCCTCACCCCCATGCCCCTGCCGGAGTCACAGCCCACCCCACCAGGGCCGACACTTGGAGGGCCACAGAAGGTGCTCAGAGCCACCCGAGGCTTCTAGGTACATGTCCGGCCCAGGCAGCGGCTGCTCTTTCTGGTTTGGGAGTGGGGCTGCTCAGCCCACAAACCTGGGATCCCGCTCCACATCCCCCTTGCTCTGTGTCAGTCCATCCCCTCGCCACACCTCCACGCTCAGATCCATCGCCATGTGAGTCCTTTTCTTTGCCCTTTGTCCCTGCTCCGGGGTCCTTCTTTCTCCCAGCTGAGTCCATGGTCTGGCTCCTCCAAACACAGACGCGCAGAACACCCAGGTCTCTCTCAAGCACAGTCCCGGCTCCTTCCCTCCCAACCATTTCCCTTGCTGAAGAAGTGGCCAGCTGGACGGTAGAATGGGGAGCCTAGGCCCCGTCAGGTGCCATCTGTAGGCAGCTAGTGGCATCTTGCTCTGTGCAACAGAGCCAGCAGGATCTAGCGAGGGCCCACACCCCGGGGCATCCAGGGACCTGTGACGCCCCCAACGGCTCACCCCCAGGCGCTCCCGCCTGTCTGGGATTTTCTGTGGCTTGGACTTCAGCCGCAGAAACAGTTTCAGATTTTCTCCACCTAAGGAAAAACCCAGCCTGGCTCTTTGGAATTGCTTGGAAGGAAGCAAGAACTGAGAGGGAAGCTCTAGGCAGGAGTCACAGCTCTCACAATCCTGCTGATGCCTCATCTCCACGGAGCCCTTCCCTATACCCCCTTGCTGGGGCCCTGCACTCCCTGCGCCTGCCTCTGCTACTGGCCTTCCAAATGCGGCCCTATGACCACCCCCTCCCCACAGTGGAGTCCTGTCCATCCTCCCCATCTGTGCTTCTGACCAGAGCCGAACCCAAGTCCCCTCCCAATTTACAACCCCAGCTAGAAGCAAGGATCCTGGGCAGGGATGAAGTACCCGCCAATGCCCAGCAGAGTGAGTGCTGGGGAGCATGAAGGCGAGGAGGAGGGGCTGCACAGATGCCCAATTCCACCCTGCAGGAGAGTCAGGGCTGTCAGGGTTGCCAGAGTGAGCTATCCAGTGACACCCCCCCCCCCATACCATTGGCCTTGACAATCCTCAGATCTGCTGGAAGCAGATTGGACCAGAGCCACCCCAACACATGGCCGGGCTTGGGGCCCACTATTCCCTGGTGGCAGCTGGGATCTGGGAATCCAGGAGCTCTGGAAGTGGGGTAGGACAGCAATATCAGAGGTGGAATGCCCCCACCTTCAGAGCCAGTGGGGACCATGCTCTCTTCTGAGGACCACAGCAGGCCTGACCCCAGGACATGTGGAGCAAAGGCTCAGGCCCCTTCTCAGCCAGCAGAGAGAAGAGTGTGTGTGATAAGTAACCCGGTCATCTTCCCACAGCCCAGAGAAAAGTTTCTGTGGTCTTCTTGTGCCTGTGGAGAGCTCACAGAGCCCCTGAACCACGTGGAGGTCAAAAAAAGAGGGATGACTGAGGAGAGGCCCAAGCTGGGGTCCTGCTGACCCAGGGCTGAGAGTGGGTTCTCACTTTCCCATCCGGGGTTTTCTAAGGCTAGTGAGAAGGACGTGGCAGAGAACAGGATTTTAGGCAGCGTTTTGTTGGTGAGATACAGTGTAGTGGCTCTGAGGCCTTGTGCTGGTACATGCCTGTGTGCAGTGTGGAGGACTTCCCAGCCCCGGGGCGGAGTCCTTCTATCCTCCTGCGGCCCAGTCCCACCTCAACCAGCTAGTGGGGTC